GAGCCGGCTGAGGGCCCTCTGTGCCCGGGAGCCCAGCGGTCGCCCAGCCCTGCCTCCCGGCCCTCCCTGGCCCCCACTTTTCTCCCACCCTTCTCCTCCCCCCAGAGCTGCATCGACTGGAACCGGGAGGTGCTGAGGCGGGAGCTGGGCCTGGAGGATCCGGACATCATCGACATCCCGCAGCTCTTCAAGCTCACAGGGGGCACCAGGGGCGCCCTCAAGGCCGAGGCCTTCTTCCCGAACATGGTGAGGAGGTGCCCTTGGAGGGTCTTAACCCTGGGGCACAGTCGGGAGGGGCCCAGACGGGCCAGCAAGGCCCTACTCAGTGCCTGGAGCCCCTCTGGGCCCCGCAGCCCTGCTGGCAGTGAGGTCTGTGGGCGCCTCCACGCTCCAGGCCGGGGACAGGGCGGCGGGGCCTCTGGCACACAGCGCAGCTGGTGAGGGACAGGATTTGGAGGTGGCTCCAAAGCCAGGGTCCGACTACAGAACCGGAGCTCTGACTACCAGGCCCTGCTGCCCGCTGGGGGACTGGGTGGAGTGAAGCCACAGACAAGGGGCTCCGAGCCGCATTAAGGGCGTGGAGGGACCCCTTGGGGCAGCGCCCCAGCCCGGTGCTCTGGGACACCTCGGAGGTGAGGCTGGACTCAGCCTTCCGAAGGGCGCACACCTTTGTTTAGAACTCTTAGTGGTGACCCCGGGTACTGTCATTTTATGGTTCCTGCGGTCTATTCTGGGGCCTAGTCCTTCTGGAATCTGGGGTGACCGTGCCGGGAGGGACCAAACTGGATTCTCCAGAGCCCTGGGGTCCCAAGGCGATGCCTCAAACTGGGTGGTTTGGGTTTTTTCTTTCCTACATTGAGGCTCTGCAGAGAGTCGGGGATTGAACTTGGGTCTTTGCACTTGCAAGGAAGGCCACCGAACCGCTGAGCTAAATCCCTGGCCCTGCAGAGTCTTGTGTAGAATGAAGGCTTCCTCGGCCTGAAGGAAGCTGAAGGAGGTACAACCTCTACCTTGAGCCCCGATGAGATTCCTGGGTCCCTGGCATTTCGTTCCCTGTCCCGTTTAGCTGAGCCAGCTTCCAGGAGCAGGAGGGAAAGACAGCTGAGGCTGACGGCAGGGGACAAGGTATCTCAAGAAAGTAGTCATCCCATGAGGGCCGACTGCGCCGAGGCCCCTGAAGGGAGCCTCAGGACCCATGGGGGAGAACTTGGGTGGGTGAGGGGAGCGGGCAGAGGCCCGAGGTGCAGGGTAC